TTTATTTATACCGTTTTCTTTTATAGGAGACGTGGGCCATTCTCCTTCCCTAAAGTCTGAAACCTGGAGAGTAAGTGGTTTCCGTTGAAATCCAGAGAAGACCTGAGCAAGCCTCGGCTCACTTGCTTCCAGATCCTTGCTTTGTCACTTGTCATAGGCGTCATTTCATGCACTGCCAGCTTGGTGAAGAATGTTTTGTTTTGGGGGTTTTGAGACAGGGTTTCTCTGTGTAGCTCTGGCTATCCTGGAACTCACTCTGTAGACCAGGCTGCCCTTGAACTCACAGAGATCCGCCTGCTTCTGCCTACCCGAGTGCTGGGATCAAAGGCACGTGCAAATCTTCACCCTTGCTTGGTGAAGAATTTTTTATTTGTTTTGTTATGGGGATTTGGAAATAGCTTTCCTTGTTTAGCTAGAAATTGTTGGAGCCACTGATTCCCTTTTTTTAAAAATGTAATTTATTTATTATGTATACAGTGTTTTGCCTGCATGTAAGTCTGCAGGCCAGAAGAGGGCACCAGATCTCATTATAGATGGTTGTGAGCCACCATGTGGTTACTGGGAATTGAACTCAGGACATTTGGAAGAGCAGCCAGTGCTCTTAACCTCTGAGGCATCTCTCCAGCCCGCCACTGATTCCTTTTGTGAGCCTATAACAAGTGACCGATGGATGACCTTGGAATAGTGGGCCATAAGCCGCTAAGTCATGCTAAGCGCCCTTTCCTGAACATCCAGCCTTACCCAAAGGAGCGTCATTAAGTTCACGTACACCGATTTCTTCATCTTCCTCACCTCTAGCCCTCCATCCCTCCCACCCCAGACCACCTGTTTCTGCATTGCATCCCTAGGAAGGCCAACTTAAGCCCAAGGACTTCCCAGTCTCTTTGGCTGCCTCATGCATAGGCTGGCTTCAGGGATGGCATAGTAAGAGGCAGGCAAATAGGTCCCACTTCGCAGCAGCTGCTCTCTCTATCAAGCAAGCTTTCCTGTTTGCTCTGCATCCCCAGAACAAAGGCTCCGTAAGGCTGAGGGGCTAATCCACCTGTCTGTCCCATGGCTGGCAACCCTGCACATGGTATCTTGCACGCAGTAGGTACAACTGCAGACCTTAATCCTGACCACTATCCTAGTGAAGCAGGCACCACTGTTGCTGCTTTTCAACTGAGCCTTAGAAGGGTGGCCTGATGCTGCAAGGGTTTGAACCAGGATTTGGACCCAGGTCTTTGGCTCTTACTGCCATACGGATTCTAGGGCCCCCAAGTGGTTTTAAATATGCAGTGTCTTCAATTTTATGAAAATAGCTTGTCTATGACTCAGCCTGTGTTCTTGCTATACATGATTCTGATGCACACTGTGTTCAGAGAGCAGAGTTGCTGAAAGGCCAATATGTAATCAAAGACAATCATGATGGATGTATTAAGGATGGGGGCTTCCCGCAACAAGGAAGTTTAAGGACTCCAAAGTGCCTGGTCCTGACTGCTCACTGTGAATCTTCTCCTTTGGAGGGGATGCTTCAGGCTGTTCAAAGGTGACCAAAAGTTTTCTTTTGTTTTTTAAAATAGACACATACTACCAATTACTAAATGGACACACAAAATACAATGCATTATTATACACCAGAAAAATGAATGAAGTCAACCAGGAGGTGGTGACCCACACCTTTAATCCCAGCAACGAAGAGGCAGAGGCCAGCCTGGTCTACAGAGTGAGATCCAGGAGAGCCAGGGATTCTAAGAGAAACCTGTCTTCAACACAGCAAAGAAGTCCTGTAACTTGTACAACATGGATGAACCGTGAAACCTCTGTGCTAAGTGAAAAAAGACAGACCTAGAAGACCACACAGTCTATAGAGTACCCACCTATGAGAGAGTTCTTAAGTAAACAAGACCCTGGAGAATGAAAGCAACTTCATGCATGCAGGGAAAGAGGCAGCTAATGCTTCTGGGGCTTTGTGGGGTGTCTACAAGACGGGGTAGTGGTTGGCAAAACACTGTGTATTTACCACCACCGAAATGTACTTTTAAAATGGTTTAAATCCCATGTGTGGAGGCACACACCTTCAATCCCAGCACTTGGGAGACAGAGGCAAGCAGATTTCTTGAGTTCTAGGCTAGTCTGGTCTACACAGTGAGTTCCAGGACAGCCAGAGATACACAGGGACCCTGTCTCAAATAAAACAAAAAAGGGGTTTAAATGGTAAAATTTATACAACATATATTTTACCACAAACCTAACAACAACAAATTAGAAGCTAGAAACAAGCAGTTGACCTCTCCCGCGGCTTTCAGAAAACAGGAACCGCACACTGACCACCAAGTCTGATAAAGCCTAGAGCTCCAATACCCGATATAAAGGCTGCAGTGACGCTGTGCTGTGTGTGGGAATTTTGCTGAAAGAATTGGAGTCTGGAGCCGGATGTGGTACCGCACGCCTGTCATAGCACTGGGGAAGCCACGGCAGGAGGACCGAGTTCAAGGTCAGGTGGGCTACCTGGAGAAAGGCTCTTTAAGAAAAACCCAGAGGGAATAAAAGAATCCATTTCAGGGTCTCTCGCCACAAGGGTGAGTGTGCGGTGAGCGTTACACGGTGCATACCAAAACATTAAATGTACTCAGTAAAAATGAAAGAAATCAAGTATCTGCAAACCTCTTAGGTCATTTTATAGAAAAGGGTAAAGAAAAACAATTTGAGTTACGTACAAAGATATAAAAACCAGATCCATAATTTGAAAACCTTACCATAGTATGGTATTTTCTGGAACAAAAATGTCGGGCCCAGTGTGCAGCTCCCACCCCTTGACTGTGGTTTGTCAAGGTCTCTGGGCTGCTCCTGGAGCTGCCAACCCCCCACCCCCATTGGTAGGGCACGCTGGTGGGTGAGTCCTGCTTCCCTGGCCGCAGGAATTTGCCACATCTTTCTTTAGTCCGTGAAAACAGCTGGCATATGAATATGAAGGGTGGCTGGTGGGGATGGGCCCTTCCCTGCAGGCAGCTGCTCTGCCTTTGTAGCCGACCCCAAACCCACAGAACTGCCTTCGCGTCCATCTGGACAGAACAGTGGGAAATGATCTCATCCTACTGTCTTGGCTCTTCAAGTTTCAGCGACTCCATAGTCGACCTAAGTATTTGGAGGTTCCAGATGGCTTTATAATGGAAGGGCTCCAAGTAGCCAGCTCCCTGATGAGGCTGTTCTTACTAAAGCTTCCCACACCTCTCCCTCATCCACAAGGAAATGGTGATAATATTGTCTGCACCAACCCAGGCCCTGCTGTGCCTCGGAAGCTTACCTCTTCCAACCAGGTGGCACAATCCTGGTGACTTCCTGCACTTTTGGGGTGTCTCAAAGCAGCACCCAGCCTGCATTGCCTTCCAGGCACCCTCTACCTTTATTCCAACAGCTCCCAGAATCCTTTGCAGGGCCAGCCTGTCACCATGATTGGCTCAGGCGGCATTGGAATAGCATCCTTGATGTGTTATGAGGACCATCGAGTCTGAGCTTTGTGGGAACTCTTTCTCTGGGGACCCCCAAAGTCACAGGACTGACTGCTGGGTTCATCACTGTCAATACTTGGGAGGCTTGTCTGAGGGTGAAGAAACAGAGGGCGCACAGGTGGAGATGGCAGTCTCAATGCATGCTGTCACCCTCGGGAAGCTGCTGGTTCCAGTGGAAAGAATGCTGCTGTCTCTTTCTGTCTCTAAGGCTGGAGATTGATCCCAAGGCGCCAAACACGCTAGGACCACTCTCCCATGGCAATATCCCAACCCCACAAAACACACCTTTGCTGAGAAGCTGTTTGTGGCTATAGTGTGATTTTGTGAGATTTCTATTTTCTGCATTAAAAAAGCCTTTAATTGTGGTAAAATTGCCAAGATTTACCGTGTTGGCTCTTTTAAGTGTTAACTCACTAGCATGAAGTGTCTTCTCACTGTTGGACAATGTTATCACTACTGCCCACTTCCAGCATCTTTTCTTCATCCTACACTGAATCCCTGCCACCATTTCACGCCAGCTCCCATCTCTCCAGCCTCCAGCCCCCCCCCCCACCCCCCGTGACCATTTTAGTTTGCCTCTAAGAATGCCTGCATTAGTAAATAGCACAAGTGGAAATCCATCCCTAATTTGTGACTGACTTACCTCACTTCCAAGGTTCACAATGAGTCTACCTGAGCGTTCTCCTTCCCACTGCAAATACACATTTTGTTTCTCCGTGCGCGTGGACATGGGTGCTACTTCTGGATTTCTGGCTGTTATAACAACACCGCAGTGAAAAGCGGTGTAAAAGCATCTATATGAGTCCTGTCCAGTTACAAGCATTGTGTATCCGCCGTGGCATGGCTGGCTATGCAGTGACTCTGTGTGAGGGCTAAAGGAACTGTTATGCTGTCTTCCATGGTTCTCCATCACTAACTTCCCCACCAATGTGCTGTCAAGGTTCCAACTGCCCCATCTTCTCACTAACACCTGTCTTTGAAAACTGTTTAAAGAAGGCACTGTGTGACCCTGGGAAGAGACCTTATTTCCTCTTTAGAAGAAAACCGTTGGGCTAATGAAGCATCAAAGCCAGAAGCTGTGGCCTTTGTAAATAGTCCTGGGCTCTTCAGCAGCGTCTTGGTAACTCCACCCTCACACCACCCCCAACACCAAAATGCTGGGCTGCCCATCTGCAGTGGAGATGGAATGACACCCATAGCTACTCCCTTTCCTGATTAGAAGGGAAGATGCTGGCCACATATATTTGTTGGTAGCCACCTTGACATGTCCCTCCTCAGCTCTAGTGTCTGCAGTAAAAACAAAGCCATTTATTTTCATGGACCCCCAGAGTCCTGCAAGCGACAGTACCATGTTGCAAAGGTGGGGCCCCAGGAGATGTGTGACCAGCTCCCTCCTCTACATCCCCTTTCCCTGCACTCTGCCAGTGACAGAAAACCTTTAGAGCTGAAGACGACAGGGGGAGGTCGGGGTGGGGAAGGAGCCAGTGAAGTGTGACACCCAAGACCTTGTTTCTTCCTTGTAAGGACTTTATTTCTATCTCATCGTGGTCTCAGACAGACTCTGAGGCACCATCATTTGTCTCAATTTGGCATCCTCATGGGTTTTGGTTTTTGTTTTTTTTTTTTTTGTAGTGCTTTTCCTTTAAACAAGAAAATGTCGAGTTAAAAAACGGTGCTGTCGTCCCACTGGTACAGCGGACCAGCAGGAACAGTGCAGCACAAGGAACTTTACAACAACTCACAGTGGGTCAGACTGACATACGCACAGGCAGCTGAGGGCCGGGACAGAGCGGTGTATGTACAGGTGCCCGAGGATGTGCGGCAGGCAGAGTTCATGGGTCACACAGTGAGTCTTAAGTCCATCTCATGGACTCCGTACCTTTTCACAATTGTTGACCTGCGTCCTTCCAGATGACAGACGCTCTTGTCTCTTCTGGCCTCGTGGCCTTTTCACTACAAAGAGTTTACTGAGTTAGGCAGTCTCAAGCATTAAAAAAGACTCTTAAAAAAAACCCTAACACTGAACAAAATGAAGTTTAACTTAGAACGCTCTGAACTCAATAGTGAGAACCCCAAGCGTAACGAAACAGTGCAAATTGAACAGAGGCAGCAGGATTGGGAACAAGGTTGCTTGGAATCTCTTAAGATGTACATATTAAAACTCTTAAATCTATTTATACCTTATTTACCTTTTTGTTTAATATATTGTGTGTAAAAAAAGATGGAGGCAAAAATAGTTTTCTGAGCTATGAAAAAATTATTACAGGCACATTTTTCTGTTTCATGGCCGAAACATCTCAGTTTACCAGGTTGAACATTCAGCAGCCGTGTGTGTGTTTAAAGACATCCATTGACCTTGAGAAAGCTACATCTTCCCTCTGGGGCAGAGCTGGGTGGATGGTGATGGTCTGGTTGTGCAAATTACAGTGAATTATTCTGGTGATAATTCGTGCAAGCTGGCATCACGTCACAGGTGTGGCTTCTCCTCCGGTGGCTCCTCCTCACTGTGTTCCTCCAAGGACACTCGGTCTCCGGGTGACTGAGACGGTGAGGCAGTGGGGGAGGGTGGGGCCCAACGGGATGGAAGGCGGCGGTTGGCTGGTCTCTCTGGCCTGGAGAAGCAGGGCTCTAGGGATGGCGCAAGTGCAGAACAAGGTAGTTCCTTCAGAGCCGAGAGAGGGAGACAGCGTTATTCAGACCTGGAGTGTCACGTGGGCCATGGCCCCCAACATACGTCACACATGCTGAAGTCGAATGGAACAGCCCAGGAGGCTACAGCATCTGAACGATTATGGCATGCGTGCAGAGGAACCTAAAGCAACCAGTAACACATTCCACAAGGATGACTGGCGACACAGGACACGTGACCATTTACATCGCGACAAAATACAACAAAACATGGGGACATGGATCTGGTTGTAGGACATCTCCGAAACTGGGCTCGAACATAGAGAAGATGATGTAGCAATGGGGTCCCATCTTTGACCTCCTACTGAGTCAGTCTCGCAGGACCTTAGTCTACTGAGGCCCACAGAGCCCTGGAGTGGAACCCAGCTGTATCAGCAAAGAGAGCCAAACAGAACTCTGCCACTGTTTATCCCAAGCTGACTGGTGGAAGGCTAAACAAACTCCCACAGTGTGGGGGGAAAAAATGCTGCAGGCAGAAATTTTAATTGAGGTCTAGTTTTCTTTCATGATCGCCACCGAGGCAGCAGTCTTACCAACTAGGACTAGACTGTGCTCACACGTCGGTGTTTCAGCCACTGGAACAGTCTGCTGACCACGTGACAGTTGTTTGCTTGTTTAAAAGGGCTGTGGAGCTACGTGTTCCTAGCCTGCAAGTCAGTTACGGACACACAGAATGGTGGAAAGCTGTGTCGTGCAGTGAACCGTGGATGATGCTCACACAGGTCCGGAGGGGGTGATATTTATGGATGAAAGGCACAAGCATGATGCCATGGAATTAGGGCCCACAAAGGAAGTCAAGAGGCGAGCTAGAAGATTTAGACATGACAATGAAGAAGCCAGAATGGAGAGATTAGGAACAGAAGGGATGGAAGGACAGATGCCATGTCCAGTGGGCAGGCGATGGTTTTCGGGACAAGATGAAGACATGACAGGATGCTCAGAGATGGCTAGTGAGGATGTCATGACCCAAGGGCAGCAAGGGACCCACAGACTTCTGTAAGAGCGGTGGAGTAATGGGGCAGTCTTTCCCTCATCCCTGAGGGGCCAGCAAAAAAGGGAACACTGAGACCATTTCATCAGATGCCTCCTTTTGGTAGGCATTTTCCCTGACCTAGGAGAATCTTCCCCAGGCCATTTATGCCATGGTGCAGCGACAGCCAGGATGTCCTCATAGCTGCCGTGTGGGTACACACGAAGTCAAGGTGGGACTGGATCTGTGTCTCCTTACCTCACCTCACAGTACCCGGAGGAGGGTGGGTACAGCTTGTGAAATCCATGTCCCTGCTCCCACCACTGTAGGGTGAGCATGTGCACGTTTGCTGCGGTTGGTGTGGCTGCCGCTACAGGTTTATCCAGCCCCTTCCTCCCACTGAGGCTGAACAGAACCAGCTCAGAGACATCTGCCTGTGCAGGAGGAAATGTGTAGCCACGATGTCACGGAAACTAACATTTCCTTGGCAAGACACCAGTGCACATCAACGAGCGATGTTGGCCTTTACCCATAAGCCAGTGAGGTGGCTGTGTAGAAAATGGCCCTTCCCATCACTTCCTTGGCCATTCACCCTCTCCCCCTGCCATGGCAGCTATGTCTCCCTCACCCCCAAGACAGCATCTCACTATGTAACCCTGGCTGGTCACAAACTCACCAATATCCACTATCTCAGCCTCCCCAGGGCTGGGATTAAAGGTGTGCGTCACCACGTACAGCATGGCTCTGTGTTAGTTCTTCTGGTAGATTAGGAGGAGGGTGACTACATCCTTGACTCAAACCAAATGTGTGCTTCCTCACAGGCCTCCCTCAGTTCAGGCTCTGAAGGCCAATCCCAGAGTTCTCAAAAATACAGGGAACAAGGATATCCCTGCTATGATCCATTCGGCCAGTCCTTAGCAAGAACTTACTTTTCGGCCAATAGACTCACTTGAAAAGACAAGATACATTTGGACTTATTCTTCCTGGTATGGTGGTATGAAAAAAAAGGAAAAAAAAAAAAACAGAGAAGGCTCAACATAGCCCAGCACACAGCAACATATAGACGTAACTGAAATGCCAGCGAGCAGCAATGGGTGGGTCGGAACCAACAGACGCTGGGCACTAAGACTTGCGTTGTGCCTGAGATGCCCCCCAGCCAATGTTCTTTCTCAACTGCAAACTCCCTGAGAGGAGAAATCCCAGCAGAATCTACATGCTAAATGGTTGACCCCTGGAGGCACGCCAAGCGGGGTGTCTGCACTCAGTGTCTGTTCCTGGGGATGAGCGTGGATTGCCACAGATGGTGATGAATGCGGCCATGAGTACATCAGCTACACACACGACTCTCTGGATGGAGGGAAGTGAGGAAGGAGGCACTTACAGTGTGAGGCAGGCAGGGCTAGAGTCCCCACGGGGCAGTTAGTAAGACAGTTTGGTTCTGGACAGACAAGACAGAAAAAGGAGAGAAAACCAAGTCGGTTGGAAAGTTTGTTTCAAACAGAAGAACAGTATAAGTATAGTCCCTGCTCCAAGGTGGCCTCGAGAGAGAACGGTGGTCCCTGGGTTCACGCAGAGGCAGGCTGCGGTAGAGGCAGGAGGAGGCGGCAATGGCACTTAGACACAAGACTGTCTTCTGCCATGTATCAACAGGCTGAAGAAGGAAGGTGAACCAAGGACGGACGGGCAGTGGTCCCTTAGCTCTCTGATGGCGCTTACGTGACCAAGGGAGCTGTGAAAGTGGCTCAGCTGGGCACACAGCCTGGCTTGTTCTGGTCACAAGCTATGGCTGCCTGTGCTCACACGTCCCCTCCACCATATTAGCTCTAGGAGGGAAGGATGCCAGAGCATTCTCTTGGCACAACTCTGCTTTGCTGCCCAAGCTTCAAGAGAGGGAGAAGCTAGGGCCACTTGTGGGGTGAGAGAGAAGCAAGGAAGGGATCTCATGTGTGGAGATCCCGGTGGCAATGCCACACAGGGTGCTTGGCACAGGCAGGGAAAACACCAGCGGCTCCGCTGCTCTGAGTGTCAAAGGCAGACCCCCACAAATTCACTGAGATGAGGCGTGATCCCCAACGCGCCCATTACGTGGGGTCCAACCAAACAGGATTCTGCTGGCACCCAGAACAAGCAAGCTGCTGAGAAAAGGGGGAGATGAGCCCATGGCCTTGAAATGCTGCCAGTGGGTCTCCCTGCAGGTTCTTGGGCTCTGAAACCGTCGTGACTCTCAGCTTGTTTGGGAGCCAATAAGACATGCGTGTGTGTGTGTGTGTGTGTTCACGTGCACATGCACAAATAAGAATCTAAACACACACTTTCTGGAAAATAGGGCAGTGAGGGGTGACTGCCGTTGACAGCAAGGGTTTTCCATCACAGGACTTTGACTCCATTAAAGCACGTGGCATCTCTATTATACCTCTGTGTCACCCATTTTCTCATTCACTGTCAAGAATACAAAGGTTCTTTGGTTCCCAAACTTAATTTCTATGTGGTCTCTAAGATGAGTAGAAACTCAAGACAGCCGATTGACAATGCCTGAAAACGCGTTCTGTTTTACCCGAAGGCAACATACTCATCTACAAACAGACCCTCCCAGGCCATAACTGAGGGCTCCTGAGGTTTGGGGGGTGAAAAGATCAGAGGAGACACCATTTGCTACCTGAAAACTCTTCTTCTGCGACGTCCTTTCTTTTCAGAGCACATACGAAATCGGTCCCTTCTGAAGTTGGGCGGATGCATTTAGCATTATGATCTGGCTACAAGTCCATGGGGGCACAGGGAGTGAACTGTGGTGGTTTGAATAAGAATGGACCCTACAGGTTCATATCTGTTAAACCTAGCACTACTTGAGAAGGATTAGGAGCGGTGGTCTTGTTGGAGGAAGTGTGTCACTGGAGGTGGGTTTCAAAATTTGAAGTCAGGCCCAGAGTCCCTCTCTTCCTGCTGCCTGTGGGTCCAGATGTGGAACTGTTAGCTCCTTCTCCAGCACCACGTCTGCTTGCATTCTGCCACACTTCCCACCATGATGATACTGGGCTAGACCTCTGAAGCTGCACACAACCCCCAATTAAATAATGATAATGATTATTATTAAATAATTAATTATAATTAAATTATAAAACTCTTAAGAAATCTGTCCCTAGAACTCAGACCTTGGGAAGAGCAGCTCACGGGATTGCCATTTCTATAGCTAAAAGTCAGAATCATCAAGGCCTGCCCTACTGGTTTGAACTCTGTCTTTTGAGTTAGTTACTCCTCTGAGGGCTGGACCGGGAACCTAATCATTTCTCCCCTGTGAGCAATTTGAGGCAAGTGGGCAAGTGGGAAAGGAAATACACCTTTCTCCTCCTGTCTCCCAGGAAGCCAGAGCTACAAGGAAGCAGAAGGCAGCCTGAGAGCACCCTGCAGTTTTCTGCCCTTGCCCGTGCTGTCTGTGGAAGTGGCTGGGCTTAGCTCGTGAACACGGGCACGCCCAGGCTCCCAGGAGCAGCTGTCACGTGATCACTTACAGGCCAGACCCACTCCGTCAGCACTACATTAACAGTGAGGCGTGCTGTGGACATAGGATTTTCTTCCTTGCTTTTGAGATAGGCTCTCATTATGCAGCCTTGGATGGCCTAGAACTTGGCGATAAACCTGGCTCTGTCTCCTGAGTGCTAGGATTAAAACGGTGTAACACCATACCTGTGGGGTTCCTTGTTTGCTTGTGTGGTTTCTGATTTATTTGCCTTGCTTTTATCTTCCAGGGCAAGAACACAAGTGGATATAGAGGTACATGTATCAGAATGGAATTCAGTGCTGACAGATTGGTGTCACCATTGCCACATTGTATTGGGGCCCTGTTTTTACTTTATCCACTGCCCGAGTCCAATGAGGAAGGGAGGTTTATAAGAGGACAATCTGCCGGTCTCTACTGAGGTGGCCCAAGAATCGAAAACCTATTCTTTAGTTCCCAATGAAAGGGTTTGTCAGGAGCCATTTTCCCAAAGATTATAGCAGGGACTATTGTCCTAAGGATGTTTGCGGGGAGCCCCACACCCAACTATCTTGAGAGCTATCTGTTAGCGGAACCCGCCCCACATTCCAACTATCTGGAGAATTGTCTGTGGTTGGAATCACAAAAGGAATGATTCCACTCCAATAGAGAATACTAGGTGTGTCGACTTGTGACCCCTGCTGCCCCGGCAAGATCCCTTCCTGCCCTTGCCATGCCCCTGCCCCCTCCTAGGCCAAATTCCTCATTCAAGGGTTATAGAAGCCACAACCATTTCGCTAATAAAGAGAGACCTTGACAAATTGAGAAGAGAATCTTGTCTGGCTCTGCTTGGTCTCCTTCCTGCCTCCCGCCCACGTCTTTTTCAGATAGCGCCTCTTCGGGACCTTGGAATAACTGACCCGCAGGGCGGGTTACAAGGGTTTTGTGTCTGTGTGGCCCAAATACATGGTAACACGTTCCTCATGAAGCCCACATAAAGCCTGCAGCGAGTCCTGGCAGGTAGACAGACACAAGTACACGCATGGTTTCCACTCACTCCGTTTTCACCCGACAGAAAGCCAGTGTGCTGCAAGTACAACTCCTAGACCAAGAGAGAAAAGCTAACCCAGACCAGAGGGCAAAGTCGGAGCAAACCAAGTCCTCATCATTTTTGAGGACAGTAAAAGTAATCTCTTCTGTGAGTTATTCAAGGTCTGTCTTTCTGTTCCACTTCACGGTTCACTGCGTTCCTGCCAACTTACAAGGATTCCCGAAACCAGTGCCCAGGACCCACCCGGCCTTTCTAAGCTAGGCAGCTAAAGGCAGAGCTGATGGGAGACAGAGCGGTACCCAGTTTACCTCCATGGATCCTGGTTCAGCTGGTCCTGCTTCTCCGCTGTGGCTGTCGCTGGTGAGTCCTGAGGGGCCATGGGCGGCTAGCTTCTTCTCCTCCTTTAAGGCATGCTCCAACAACTTTTTGTTGAGGATCCGGGCTACATTCTCAGTGAGCGTGTAGCCAGGGGGGGCAGATAAGTCCTGTCTCACCGGTGTGTTCTCTCCCCCATCCTCCCTGCACACCTCTGAGCCCCCTCCTAGGGGGCTGGGGGACCTTCCTCGGGAACTGGTGCCAGTTTCCTGGCCTGGACCCAGCTCCTGTCGAGGTTCTGCCGAGCGGGAACGGCTTCCAGCTCGCATTCCAACAGGACTGTGGTCAATGATATTGAAGAGGCTGGAGAGGCCGTCGTTGATGGTGGTGTGCACGGGGCTCTCCCTGGTGGTGGTGGAGCGGGCCCAGGCTGACTCGCTGAACCCCTTCTGGGCCACGCCTGGCGAGGTCCTGCTATTTGGCTGATCAGCTTTGGACAGGGGCTTCCTCTGAAGCTTGGGAGAACCGTACTTTGGGGAGCAGCAGGTGCGTTCAAACTTGGCCTGCACCTTCTCGATAGCAGGGGCCACCTGTCTGTTCCTAAGGCTTCGGGAAGGAGAAGACACGGGGGTAGTGCCACCTCCGGCTTTTGGCGTGAGACACTTGTGAGGGCTGCTGGTGACACCGCCAGCACGCAGGGCCTCAGTCTGCAGGCCCACACTGATTGTCTGGACGGTCTGTGTTCCTGCTGTCCTGGACCCGTTGGTCTGGCAGGCCATGTCCCTGACTTGTGGTTCGGGGGGACCAGAGCAGATGGCATTCCTGACAGAGAAGGCCACCTCCTTCATGTCGTCACTCATGTTCCTAGACATATCTAGGCTGTGCAATGGGGAGGGGAACCCCAGGGAAGGGCAGACAGGTTTCTCTAGGGGGTGGAGAGACCCCTCCACATAGTCTCGGGAGTGTCTGGGTGGGGTGCAAGGCCACCTGTTGAGCACAGGTTCCGGATGACCTCCCTTGGCATCTGCCAGGTTCCCTCTTGCTCTGCTCATAGGAAAGGGGCCCTCGGGGTCCACTCGGCTCCTGCCCTCACCACCCGACACCACAATACTGTCAACCCGGCGGACAGCAGGGGGGCTGTGCAATACATGCACCCCAGACTGCTCGGTGCGGACAGCAGGGGGGCTGTGCAATACATGCACCCCAGACTGCTCCGTGAGGACTTGGCTCCGCAGTGGCTGCTTCTGGCAGTGCTCTGGGCTGGTCATGGTGTCTGTCGTCATGGTGACACTTGTGGTCAGGTACCAGGAGGAGTCAGGGAAAGGCTCCATGGTGGGGTCATGTCCCACCCGTCCCGCCTCGGTCCTGTCTGCCCAGAAGTCTGGAGGCCTATCGGTCCCAGCCCTTGGGGAAGTATAGTCCCAGTTTTTGCTGTTGAACTCCTCGATGTACTTCAGGTCATCGGGAGACAGGGGTGGAGTGACATCCTCCTTGCTGCTGGCAGATGGTAGGCCCTTCTCAGGCAGGAATGGGGAGACGTCCATCAGACGTTGGAATTCAGACATACAGGACACAGACACAGCCCTGGGGGAAAAAAAACAGAAGGGGTCAGCTCCTGGACTGTACTCTACACAAGATGTACCCGTGGAGGTGCCTGCTTCTACCTGGCTCTTAAAAATCGGGTCCGCTGGGGCTGGAGAGATGGCTCAGCAGTTAAGAGCACTGACTGTTCTTCCAGAGGACCCGGGTTCAATTCCCAGCACCCACATGGCAGCTAACAACTGTCTGAAAATGCAATTCCACGAGATCTGACACCTTCACCCCAATGCACATAAAATAAAGTTAAATAAACCATTAAAAAAAAAATCGGGTCAGCCACTTGACATCCTGCATGGTTGTTACTCTTACCCCATGAATGCCCACAGTTGTATAGCTCTGCAATTGTGCCTGCAGCCTTGCCTTGGTCTGAATTGAATAGAGCTACTCCCTCCATGGCCACAGAGATGCGTGGATTACCTCCCCACAGTCATAGCTAATTCCAGACTGTGGTCTGGTGACTCAAGCCACTATGGAGGATCACCCGCTGCTGGCTTCCATGAACCTGTGAAGATGAACACGCCATACTCTCTAGCTACTGTGAGCCACAGGATGGGCAGAGAGAGACCCTGGTGAAACATCTACAGGTTCCCATCTCTTTTCATCCAAACAGCCTCATCCTCCACTGGCTGGAAGGACACTGACTTTAAAGTCTCCAAAGGCCACCTGGAAGATGTCGGAGGAAATAGGGAAGTGGAAATCCTGATCAGTTTTGAGTCTTGTCTCAAACTAGAATACGATCAAGCCCACCCAATTCAGTAAGGGGCGTCCTCGCCTTCTGCCCCAGCTTTCCTCTCCATAGCCAAGTGGTCTGTCTGTCTGTCTGTCTGTCTCTCTCTCTCTCTCTCTCTCTCTCTGTGTGTGTGTGTGTGTGTGTGTGTGTTTGCTCTTTTGCTAGCATTTCAACTTCTCATGCTCCAATCTGACAGAAACTTGGGGAACGCTTTCCCTCTGCTCTCCAGTCTCCACAGAGGCGGTGGGGTGGCAGACTGGACAAACCAGGAGGTGAGTGGGGTCTTCATGCTGCTTGCCTATCCACCAGGGAAAACAAATGGCCAGAGGCTGGGGGTCGGGTGTGCCCACCAACTCAGGTGACAGAATCAACTTCAGCTGCAGCAGAAGTGGGAGGCAAGGCGGACACCCACTTACCATCCCACTAGATCTGTTTCCTCTCAGCTTGACAGACAGACTTTATACCTAGGGTTCTAACTCAGTCCTAGCCACACCAGAAGGGATCTCATACCTGGTACCCAGATCCCTCTCTACAGAACCTGTTGGTAACAGGAAAGCCAGACTGAGGCTGCCCTGTGTCTAAATGCTCAAAGGTTGCTACACTGAACCACTAGTGGCAGTCACGGGGGAGGGCTTCGTGGGGTTAGCTGGATGGAGGAGCACAGAGATGACAAAGAACGGAGGGGTGTGGGCCTTAGAAACGGCCACGTTGATGAAACAAGAGGACTAGGATCCACTGGAAGCATGGCCGGGTGCCTCCTGGTGCAAGAGATGAGGCAGGGCCCCAACATGGTTACAAGTCAGGGGGGCCACATGGCCTGGGGAGGGGTCGGCACCTTCATTGTTTTGTCTCAGACACTTGATGCTACTTCAAATTTGCAACCCCCATGTTGACTACTTCTGAAATCAGCAGAAGCAAATAAGATTTAAAATCACAGTTACAGCGCACAAAGGAAGAGGAAGATGGGAGGCCTGGGTATCAAACGCAAACGGCGCAGGCCTTCATCTGGACACGGAGCGATTGCTCCTGTGAACGGGCACAGCAGTTGATGGAGCCACAGCTGAACCATGTGCGCTGCTTCTCTGGCTTCCTGTGTGTTCATACGTGTGAACGCCACAAAGAAAACAACAAAATCTTTCAAAGAATCTGACTTCCCTATTTACAGATGAAGCAACTACGGCCCAAAGCACTTAAATCCCAGACCCACGGAAACACAGCAAGAGGCAGATGCAGATCACTTCCGGAGCCCAGGCCCACAAGTATACTTGCATTGCCTGGGGAAGACACCATGTCCGGGCAACTCTGTGGGTTCTGTGGAAACAGACGGTCTAGGCTGCAAAGGAGACAGTCTGTATTTGCAGCCTCCGAGATCAGAGGGAAAAATAGGATGAGGGAGCTGACGGCAACAAACTGCCAGAGACACAGGATGCAATGGGGATAGCACATGTCCGTCTACGGAGGGAAGAAAAGGCAAAGCCCGAGAGCACAGGCTGTCAGGGAGGAAGCTGGGTGCAGCTAACACGAGGGTTGCAGCTAAGGTCTGTTCCCTCTGGGAATCACAGCAGGGAAGACTGCAAAGACAAAACAAATCTGCCATTTGCCATGAAGGAGGCCTCAGAAATGTTTTCTGAGCTGCCCATAAGAAAGTCTCCACAGACCTTTGAAAGACTGGTTTTTTTTTTCAAGCACTCCTCTGGACATGGCAAACACAGTTGTTATCCTAAGACACAAACCAGCGCGCGTTGCCTTTTTGCTAATGCTAATCTAGAAAACAAATAGTTTAACAGCTGCTACTTACTGCACAGTATTTTGGAGAGTACCCACAAACACTGCATGAAAACAGTGCATCCTTAAAGGCAAAAGATTTAGAATTTAGCAATCAATTTTGCTTACCTTTGAAGATTTCCCTTGCGACTTTCTTCTTCCTATAAAGAAAGAAAGAAACAAACAAACAAACATCTGTCAGAACCAACTGATTCTGGCTTCCTAGGAATCCCGTCTGCACTAAGTGACTTGTTTTGCTATGGTCTCTTAAGATGTGGTTCAAAATGCTCACTGAGGCCAAGTCCTAGGCTACTGCCCTGAGCCCTTTGAAGTGGAACAGTAAAAGCTGCATCCACAGCATCACGGGAGGATAGGAGCTTCTGTAGTCACCGCCTGAGTGAGAAACACTGACTAGAAAGCTTGCTGAGTAAATGGTTCTCCCACACCCCCACTATAAGGAGCTCAAAGAACTGGCAATTCCGAGTAAGTCCAGGTGCGTGTGTGGGGGGTAGGAGTGGAAGATGACAGTGGGCAGGGAGGTGGGAGACCGATATCCTCCGGTCCAAATCTTGCTATGGAGGTTGGTATGAGTGGCATCTTTGGGGCAGGGACTCCTGCTTGTTTTTGAACATTCCTGGTTAGGATCAGATGTAGAAAAGCGGTGACTTCCCCTGAAGGGCAGCAGGAACTGTGCTGATAAACAGCGGCAGAGACAAAGGTTGTCTATTGAAAAAGACTCGCATGCTGGCATGGTTTGGAAGAAACAATCACTGGACAGTAATGAAACCGTATTCCTTGGCACAGCCATATGGAAGCGTGCCTTCCTCACAGCCAGCAAGCCTTTGCATCCACCACACAGAGGAGTAAGGGTCTCCCTTGGACCTGTGCTCTCTCTGCTACAAAGCTGTACCAGACACTGCCTGCAGATCTGTGGAGGGGCAGACCAACCAACTGACATCCTACTGACCTGATACACACTGATGGGGGTAAGGATCTGACTTCACTGACCTGACTGACATACGTGGTTGAGCATCCCTTAATCCAAAAATCCATAACCTGAAATACTTCAAAATCTGAAAATTCTGGACTTTGCTTCACACACAAAATAAGCATAGAATAAAATTGCCTTCAGGCTCCAGACATAAGATGAATATGGAATTTAAGTGATTTTTGTGTTTGAATCAAGTCTGATCCCCAAGATGCCTTTTTATGAACATGTAAATATCCCAAACTCCATGACAGCTGGAAACCTGAAACCCTATGGTCTCAGCATTTTGAACCAGGGACATTCAACTCTCATAATGTCCCCATATTTCAGCGCTATCCGAGACAAGTCCCGTAAGTATGAAGTATTTGGAAGAACAGTAGCCAGTACAGTCACTGTAAACCGGTTCACGTGTAATGATGCCCGCAGTAGGGTGCCCACACCATCATCCGGATTTAATTGAGACAGGGTCTCACTATTCTTATACCAGGCTTTAAAAATACAGTCATCAGAGGAAAATAAGTGACATTGTGCCGCAGAAATTTTGGTGGTTCTCTCGAATTCAATCATTTGTCCATCCACTTGTTGGATGTTTTTCCTTTCCCCAGAATAACATATTTATTGCAGTTGCCATTTAGTGATATCTACTAAATTTTAAGATATTCTTTAATGCAGAATTATTTCTCAGCCATCTGAGTTTTCTAGAATCAGAAAATGCATAATGATTTCAAGAAAAGCAGAAACTATACATTTGTTTTGTCTACTGAGTTTTGTGGACTACACTTGTTCTTGAGAGTTTTCATGTTACATGGGATGCTAATCCAGCATTTCTGAACCCAGAACAAAACAGCTACGTTAAACTGACCACGGGAGTAGGGTCGTGGTCTGGGGCACTAACTTGCCGGGAGGGAACTGCCAGACACTGGCTGCACCGAATGTTGGCTCCCTCCTGCTGCTGGTAACCTCAGAGGACAAACCCAGGCTGACCTTGGCAAGGCAGTTCCTGAGGGGTGGCGGATCCTCTGGGTCATCATCCATGGACAAAGCGTCCAAGTACAGGTTCTCGCTGGCCGAGCACCGGTCCGACTCCTTCAGTTTGGAAAGCGGCCGGTCTTCAAATGGGATGGAATCAGTGTCTGCACAGGACCACATGGACACAGGCCGGGGAGCACGGAGGTCTCCTTGGTGTGGAAAAGGGCGGGCGTCGTCTTCCTTTTGACTGCAGAGGAAACTGTCGCTTCTCCGGGGGCTGTTCTCTTTCTGCAACTGAGTGTCAAAACGGAAACAATAAGCCTCCATTTCCAGGGTGACAATTTTGCTAAGCCCATCCTTTCTCCATTATGTTGAATTACGTGTCTACCTGAAAAGACTTTTTAGAATCAAATGTGCTTAACGGCATGGCATCAGGTTCAAGATGTCGCACCGTACTGCAAATGCTTCCTAAAGAGAAGCACACTTTACCTGGACTGCAGAATCTTCCTGACGCAAATATTTGTGTTTTGAGGGTTTTTGCTATTGTCTTCTTCATTTCTGTTGTACTCATATAATTTATCAATTATTGTGCTTACGGGAAATTAGACATTTTGGTTTCAAGTTTAAGGGGAACAAGCATCATGTTTAATATTTCTTTCACAGTAACCTCCAGAACTTTAGCAAACTCCTGAGGGGGAACCCCATTTTCCTACCTGACCCAAGGCAGATAACTAATTCGATACAGAACTGGATTGTAGTCACATGGTGCTCAAGACAACGCTAACTTTGCTTGAGAGAGTGAAAACTGAGCTACAAAGATGACTAAAGACCTGGAACACTTTTCGGCCTGACTTGGTAAACTGAAGTAGTAACAGGTAAAGATGGGTCACTTGGGGTGTCGATGAAGGGGCTGGGGATGCAGTTGGTGGGGAGCACTTGCCAAACACATGCAAGGCCCTGATTTGGTTCCCAGCAACTAAACAAGGCAGGGCTGCAGCTGCGGAGGTGTGGTTTGCTGCTTTCCAAGCAAAACTGATTTCCCAACTCTTGCCTAGCTCAGTGGAGACGAGCAGACAGGTGTGCAGACAGGTGAGCAGGTAGGGGGCCTGGCAGGTGCACTCACTGGGCCAATAAGCACCTTTCTTCCAGTGGGAGATCTTAAGTGGAGTATTTTATCAGACAGCTATATAAAAATCACTGAGGACTGATGGGATGTCCCAGAGATGTGGCTCATGGGTTTCGTCTCTCTTACTTACTGCCTCCCTCTTCTAAATACTTATTGAAAGTGCGATCGAGGCCTGAAGCTACTCTCACCTAGGACTTTCTAATATGATTAAGTGCTCACCCTCCTACACTGGCTGTTCTCTTGAATAAGTTAAGTTATCCAACGAGCAGAATGACATTTTCATTTCAGTGGAAAGAGTGACCAACTCAAGATTTCCAGTCCTCAAGTGCTGAGATGACGAAGGAAGTTCTTAAAAAAAAAAATCCCTCAAACCCAGACTGATTATTTTTTTATTAAATTTTTTTATATTTATTGAGCGCTACATTTTCTCTGCTCCCCTCCCTGCCTCTCCTCTCTCCCCTTCAACCCTCCCCCAAGGTCCCTGTGCTTCCAATTTACTGGGGAGATTTTTTCTTTTCTACTTTCTACTTCCCATGTAGATCTATATAAGTCTCTCTTAGTGTCCTCATTGTCTAAGTTCTCTGGGATTGTGGTTTGTAGACTGGCTTTCTTTGTTTTATGTTATAAAACCACCTACGAGTGAGTACATGTGATAATTGTCTTTCTGTGTCTGGGTTACCTCACTCAATATAATGTTTTTGGGGGCTGGAGAGATGGCTCAGAGGTTAAGAGCACCGCCTGCTCTTCCAGAGGTTCTGAGTTCAATTCCCAGCAACCACATGGTGGCTCACAACCATCTATAATGAGATCTGGCGCCCCCCCTGGTGTGCGAGCATACATTGAGGCAGAATGTTGTATACATAATAAAAAAATTCTAAAATAATAATAATGTTTTCTAGCTCCATCCATTTTCCTGCAAAATTCAAGATGTTATTTTTTTCTGCTGTTTAGTACTCCATTCTGTAAATGTGGCACATTTTTCTTATCCATTCTTCGATCGAGGGGCATTTAAGTTGTTTTCAGGTTCTGGCTATGACAAACAAAGTTGCTATGAACATAGTTGAGCACATGTCCTTGTGGTACAATTGAGCATCCTTTAGATATATACCCAAAAGTGTTTGAGGAAGGTTGTTTCCTAATTTTCTGATAAATCACCACACTGACATCCAAAGGGGCTGTACCAGCTTGCATTCCCACCAGCAATGCTGGAGTGTTCCCTTTTCCCCACAGCCTCTCCAGCAAAAGTTGTCATCAGTGTTTATGATCTTGGCCATTCTTTCAGATGTAAGATGGAATCTCAGAGTTGTTTTGATTTGCATTTCTCTGATGACTAAGGGTGTTGAACATTTCCTTAAGTGTCTTTCAGTCATTTTAGATTCATTTGTTGAGAGTTCTTTGTTTAGGTTTGTACCCCATTTTTAATTGGATTGTTTGTTCTTTTGATGACCAACTTCTTGAGTTCTTTGCATATTTTGGAGATCAAACTTCTGTCTGATGTGGGGTTAGTAAAGATCTTTTCCCATTCTGTAGGCTGTCGTTTTTTGTCTTGTTGACCATGTCCTTTGCTTTTCAGAAGCTTTTCAGTTTCAGGAGGTCCCATTTATTGTTCTCTCAGTGTCTGTGCTGCTGGGGTTCTATTTAGGAAGTAGTCACCTGTGCCAATGCGTTCATGTGTATATTTCCCACTTTCTCTTTTATAAGGTTCAGTGTAGCTGGCTTTATGTTGAGGTCTTTGATGCATGTGGACTTGAGTTTTGTGCATGGTGATAGATACGGGTCTATTTTCATTCTCCTACATACTGATATCCAGTTATGCCAGCACCACTTGTTAAATACGCTTTCTTTTTTCCATTTGACATTTTTTGCTTCTTTGTCAAAAATCGGGTGTTTGAAGATTGATTTCCAAGCTTTCTATTTGGTTCCATTGATCCTTCTGTCTGTTCTTATGCCAAAACCAGGCTGTTTTCAGTACTGTAACTCTGTAGTAGATTTTGAAGTTAGGGATTGTGATGCCTCCAGAAGTTCTTTTATTGTACAGGATTGTTTTGGCTATCCTGGGTTTTTTGCTTTTCCATATTTAGTTGAGTACTGTTTTTTTGGGTTCTTTGAAGAATTTTGCTGGGATTTTCATGGACATTGCATTGAATCTGTAGATTGCTTTTGGTAAGATTGCCATTTTTACTGTTAATTCTACCTACCCAAGAGCATGGGAGATCTTTCTACTTTCTGGAGTCTTCTTGAATTTCTTTCTTCAAAGATTTAAAGTTCTTGTCATACAAGTCTTCCACTTGTTTGGTTAGAGTTACTACGAGATATTTTATGCTATTTGTGGCTATTGTGAAGGGTGTTGATTCTCTGATTTCTTCCCCAGCCCTTTTATCATGTGTGTACAGGATTTTTTTGAGTTAATCTTGTATCCTGCTACATTGCTGAAAGTGTTTTTGAGTTGTAGAAATTCCTTGGGAGAATTTTTAGGATAATTTATGGTTTAATGTATGATTTAAGCTTTGGAAGTATTTCTTTTACATATGATGGTGCCCTTGTATTTGGGGCATAGATGTTCAGTATTGAAATTTTCTTTTGAGGGATTTTTCCTGTGACTAATAGGAAATGACCTTGTCTCTTTTGAATGATTTTAACTTGAAGTCTATTTTGTTAGATATTAGGATAGCTACACCCTCTTGTTTCTTAGGTCCATTTGATTGGTATATTTTTTCCCAAACCTTTACTTTGAGATGATGTCTGTCTTTGAGGTTGAGATGTGTTTCTTGTATACAGAAGTGGGATGGATTTTGTTTTTATATCCAATCTGTTAGCCTGTGCCTTTTAAGGTTAGTTGAGTCCATCTACATTAAGGGATATTAATGACCAGTGATTGCTATCTCCTGTTAATTTAGTTTTCATCGATGGTAATATTAATTTGTGCGTTTTTTTTCTTCTTTTGGATTTGCTGTTATGAGATCATCAATTATCTGTGTTTTTGTTGGTGTAGTCATCTTCCTTGGGTTGGAGTTTTCCTTCTAGTATTTTGTGTAGGGCTGGGTTTGTGGCAAGGTATTGGTGAAATCTAGATTTGTCATGGAATATCTTGTTTTGTCCTTCTATGGTTATTGACAGTTTTGCTGGGTATAGTAGTCTGGCCTGGCATTTGTGGTCTCTTAATGTCTGTATAATGCTTGAACATGACCTTCTGGCTTTCAATGTCTCCACAGAGAAGTCAGGTGTAATTCTGATAGGTCTACCTTTATATGTTACTTGGCCTTTTTCCTTTGCAGTTCTTTTTTTTTTTTTCTGATTTTTTGAGACTCGGTTTCTCCGCAGCTTTTTGGTTCCTGTCCTGGAACTAGCTCTTCTAGACCAGGCTGGCCTCGAACTCACAAAGATTGGCCTGCCTCTGCCTCCCAAGTGCTGGTATTAAAGGCATGCGCCACCAACACACCTCCTTTGCATTTCTTAATATTCTTTCTTTACTCTGTATGTTTAGTGTTTTGATTATTATGTGGCAAGAAGACTCTTTTTTTTTTTTTTTTTTTTGGATCCAGTCTATTTGGTGTTCTGTAAGTTTCCTGTATCTTCATAGTAGACATATCTTTCTTTAGGTAGGGAAAGTTTTTTTTCTATGATTTTGTTAAATAAATTTTCTGTGCCTGAGTTGACCTCTTACATATTTGTTAAATAAATTTTCTGTGCCTGAGTTGACCTCTATACATATTATTCTAAGATTTGGTCTTTTTATGATGTCCCTTATTTCCTGGATGTTTTGGGTTAAGCTTTTGTTAAGATTTAATGTTTTCTTTAACTGATGAGTCTATTTCCTCTATTGTATCTTCAGCACTTGAGATTCTCTCTTCCATCTCTTGTATTCTGCTATTCATGCATGCTCTTGTGGTTCCTGATTTTTTTCTCATGATTTCTGTTTCTATAATTCCTTCGGCTTGTGTTTTCTTTATTGTTTCTATTTCAGTTTTTAAGTCCTGAATAGTTTCTTTTATATGTTTGATTTCTTTTTCTTGGTTTTCTTTAAATGATTTGCTGATATCTTCCAATTTTTTGTTTGACTTTTCCTCAATTTCTTTAAGGGAATTTCTCATTTCATCTTTAAGAATTTCAAACATTCTCTTGAAGTTATTTTTTAGGTCATTTTCTTCTGGTTCATCCATATTTGGTT